ATAATTATATATATGTTACAGATATGTTTTTGTTATATAGGGATTTATTATAATTTATAATTTAAGGGTCTTTAGATTGCCAACAATATTGGTGGCCTTAAGGATATGCAAAAATGAGATCTTTGGTTTAGTGGCTTACAGCAGAGACTCAGTTTAGCTGCAGCATTGTTGGTCAGCATCTTCCAGCACTGGTTTGGTCACAGCTTCTGTTTTATAATATAATTGTTTGTCTTAACTATGTATAAACCCACGTCTGTCTCTCTTGCCAGGTGGCTTAATAAATACATGGAAGCGACGCTGGTGTGTCCTGAAAGATGAGACCTTCCTGTGGTTTCGTTCCAAGCAGGAAGCACTCAAGCAGGGTTGGCTTCACAAGAAGGGGGGTGGATCATCTACACTTTCCAGAAGGAACTGGAAGAAACGATGGTTTGTTCTCAGACAGTCCAGGTTGATGTACTTTGAAAATGACAGTGAAGAAAAGCTAAAGGGTGCCATTGATGTCCGAACAGCCAAGTAAGTTTATGTGTTTTTATGTTAGCCATAGTTCTTCCTAAATAGTACTTAGGGCTTAATCTGGGAAGATGTTGAGTGCCCTGCCTTCAAATTGTGTGAAAGCATGCATGAGAGTGTGTGTGATGAAGTTATTGAAAGCAAGTGTTGTCCTCACTTGGCTGTCTTAAGTCTACGAAGTGCTCCAGAGCTAAGCCACTGCCAAATACTTCAAAAAACTGCTGCTATAATGAACCCATCTATGCTTTCTCCCAGACTAGAGGCCCTACTTAGTCTGTAATGATTCCCAAGGCAATTTGGGGCATGTTGCCAAGTCCATAGCTGCAGGCAAACCTAGAATGAAGAGCGTAGAATTAATAGGCCCTGAATATATTTAAGTTAGCATGGGTCAAAGCTGTATCTTCTGTATTCATTTATGATTTTTTTTCATGTTTGAAGTAATTGTAGTAGTGGTAGAAAAGTCTTTAAAATGTGTATGTTCATTTAAAAAAAAATAGAATTGTGGGATTCACAGGGAGTGTTGCGAGCGACCTTGAACAACATAGCCTTGAAGGAAATAGTCTGAGAAAGTAAGTAATGAAGCAAGCGCAGAAAGTGAGCTGAAGATAAAAATGTTTTGAAGCACAGCTGTGAGACCCAAACTAGAAGACGCATGTCTTGATTAACAGCACCAATTAAAAGCTTAGCCGCGGCGCGTGGACAGCAGGGGTTAACCAATCCAAGAACAAACTAGGGCGCGTGGACAGCTAGTGAATCTACATAAGCACAAACCTGTAAACAATAAAGGTCTTTGGTTTTACCCGCGCCAGAGTCCGTGAATCAATCCCTCCATAGAATTACTAAACCTAACTTAGTAACTTACATCTTGCTAACTGAAGTTCCTTACACCTTGAAATTCTATGCTTCCTGAAGCATGCATCAAAAAAGTTTTCTAAGGGATGGTATTTTTCCTTCTAAACAGTCAGTGTGCTTTGTGAACTTATAGATTATCTAACTAATTTAAAAATTAGAATGTGCTAACATTGGTAGTCTCATTTATGTATAAAAGTGTACCTAAGCTTTCTTCGAAGGTAGAGAAAAATAGAAATGGCTGTAACACTTGATTCCACTCTGCTCCTTGTAATCTGCAACTGTCCATTTTATTTTGTTACTTTAACAGAGTACTTAAACTAAATTGAAAGTTTAGATTCATATTTTCTTTGGAAGTCTTGGTTTGAGCCCAATTTCAAGCAGGACAAAGTAAATAGTTTCAGTGGGCACCCTGACTTGCTTTTTTAAAACCAATGAGCTGCTGGGCGTCAAGTACATCTTTGAATAAAGACTGAAGTTCCTACCACAATTTTTTTTGTTGTTGAAACTGAATTTGACCCTGTCTCATGTACCATAGCATTTATTTAGCATATTTTTCTAATATGTTTAGACCTTTTTTTTTGTTGTCACCGCATTGTTTCATTGGCTTCTTCCTGTAGTTCTTTGCTGAGCGTACCTTTAAAATTGTTAGGTAAATGTTGTTGAACCTAACTTGAACTGCAGGTTCAATCAATGACTATTTGTGTATAAAACAGCTAAAAGAAAGGGTACTTGTATTTAAAGAGCTGTATGTCATGAGAAATAAGAAATATCTTTTCTAGGTAACTTTAATATTCACTGAGTGCATTCCTAACATATTGTGCAACTTAGATATTTCACCACTCCATATTAGGGAACCCATTGAAATTAAATGAATCTTAGGCTGATTCACTTAAAACACAGAACAGGGAGGTATTCTGTTGGACACTGTTATTGGGAGGGAAGGAAACCAAATTAAGGAAAACAGTACAGAATTATAGCTTTTTGTTCTAATAGCAGATAAATAGTCCTCATGAGTCTGATAAGCAGAGCTTGTATATATTGTTTGTCGGATAGAGACTTATGAGAATAGTGTAGCTGATAAGGATATATAGCTAGTTAAGGAAATAATAAGCTTCAGACAAATACAGTAAAACAGCAAAAAGTAAATCAAGTTGATTTCTTAAGCTTCAGGAAAACCTGATGTACTACTTAAATTACTCCTTAAAAATCTTGTGCTTTGTGGTTCATGATTGTTTAATATATCGATACTTACATGTCCAAACAAATCAGAAAGATGTCAAATTAGAAAGATGTCATTTTTCAGCAGATGAGTGCACAGCTTTTTCTGGAAGTCATGTTTGGAATTGTCTTCATGCTGACTTGCAACCACACAGAATCACTAAGCCAGGTTTTGTTTGCTTTTTGTTTTTAATCTTCAAGAGCTCTCATTTTACCACTCCAAAAATTACTCGGGTATGCAGTCAGTTCAGAAATATATCCATTTGTCAACTCGGTTATCCTTGCCTCTCTTGAGGTTTGATAATGCTTTTTCTTTAGTTCTTGTTAAAACAATAACAGATTAGTCACCTTGGTATAGTGACATTCATAATAGTTTGAATGTTTGTACTATATAGGCAGAAAACACAACTATAGTTTGGTGAATTAATACTGTCTGATCACATTGTGAGTCTTGCAAATGAGCCTGATTAAGGCTGGCTGCTGTTATTTTAAGTATCAGTAGTTTGTGAGCCTCTCAGCAGAACAGAATTTTCAAAATGTTGACAATCTCTAATGCTCCATTTTGGTGTTTTCTTCTTTTCAGAGAGATTGTTGATAATACAGGCAAAGAAAATGGTATTGATCTAATAATGGGTGATAGGACCTACCACTTAATTGCTGAGTCTCCTGAGGATGCAAGGTATGAAAATCATCAGGCCTTTTTCTTCTCTTCCCCCTCCCCTCCTTTTTAACCTCTGTGCCATTCTGACTTGTGCTTGTCATTAATTTGCATTTAACACTTTTTAAAGGCCTGCTGAGAAGAAAATCTTGTGGCAGAACATTACTGGGAAGAGTCAGACTGCCAGTGAAAATTTGCCTAGAATTTGGCTGTTACCCATTTATTACTAGCAACTTTCTGAAGTACAGTATGTCTGTAGAGAGGCAGTCGTCAGCATTACCCTGCTGTGTTTAGCTGCATAGATTAAACCAATATTTAAGACCCTGTAATCTGCCTGAAATAAAATACTGTTCTTTAGGGTTGGGATCTGTTTGCCTAAGCAGAGCCTAAAATTTCTTCAGATCAAAGTTGTAACATGGTCACTGGATTTTAGGGTGAAAGCGTGTTTATGAATAAGCAGAGCGTGCAACAAAGTGTTTCCCTTTCTGTTGGTTTAAAAAGGGTCTTGCTTTTTTTGCTAAAGGATCCATACCAAACTGCAGGGGGAGGCTGGTAGGTAAGGAACAAGCTTGACTTGTCAGATCAGTTGTACTGCATCTTTTTTAAAAAAAAATAAAAATGCGCACACTACAGTTCAGGCGAGATAATAATATGCTTGCCCATAAAAATCAAGCATTTAAATAATGTGAACTTAGTAATCAAAGCTTATTACCTACTGTCTTGCTGCCCAAAGGCCAGAATACAAGATGCCTCTGTCAACATCACTTGAGCTACTTTGCTCTGAAGCCTTGAAAGTTGTTTTGTATTATATTCTTTTTAAAAGTATAATACCTTCCTATATCACAGGACCCTGAGTATAAATTTAGCAATGCTTACCGTGCAGAATCATTCTTCATTTTTTTAAGCATCCTTAAAATTACCCTTGAAACAAGTTATGAGCTTTCCAGGAGTTACTGTTAAGAGTCTTGTGTGATGTGAGTCTATTTTAAAATGAAGGCTTAGCTAAAGTCTCTTCTATTAGACTTGTGTACGTGCCCTAGGGACCAATAAGAAATTATCAGCATAAAGACTTGTCATGCCTCTCTTTCATTTTCTTTCTTAAACATGGAGGAGGAGGAGACATTATACACTATTGTTGCGTATAGTACACATAACATACCATCCAGATTAAATTACTTTCTACCAGTGTATTTCATGTTTCTTTTTTCTCAGTCAGCCCAGAGGACTTTAACGAGGATATGTGTTAGAATTTGTAGATAGACTTAAGCCAAAGCCTTGTTAATGTTTGGTATTGTTAAAAGTGAAGTACAGAATTATTGGACTGTGTTGGTTCTGGATCTGCTATTGAAAAAAAGATTTTGTACATGGGCTAGATCATGATCTGGGGTTGCTTTTTGTTCAAATGAAGAGTAAAAAACAAGAAAAACCTGACAGCCCCCTCCAAAAGAGGAATTACTGTTTTGATCATGGAAGTATATTTGAGGAAAGAAGTAATGCTTCAGTGGGCAGCCATCGCTGAGGGTTTATTCTTTTCAAACCCCTAGCCTGTCTTTTTCCCTATTCCTGGGTTCTGGGACTCAGCTGAAAGACAGAGGAGGTCCTGAGAGGGAAGAAAGCAAAAGGAGAGTAAAATCTGCCTTTGACTTTTGCAAAGTGTCATGATTATTTTCTCTTTTATTGTTTACACAAATATTACATGAAATTATGAAAACTCTGAATTGTTCTTTAAAATCCACTAATAAATTATTACTAAATGTGCATACAATGCTATGAAGTCTTTTCTTGTTTTTAAATAGAAGACTGACATTTAAACACATTTGCAATGCCTGAGCCCAAAAAAGAAAGCTGAATTTAGTTTGTGGAAATTGTTGTCTTCAGCTGATGGTTCCTTCTCTCTAAATGACCCTTCCCTCATTTTGAGGGGTTTTCAGGGACCTTGTCTTGCATCCAGCAAAGTAAGTGTTAAGCATACCCTCTCTGTGGGTATCTCTGAGTCTTAACAAAAGGATCAGAACTAAATATGTTCTCATCTTCTTTATTGTCAGGCACTCTAAATCTTCATTTTTCTTCATGCCTTGCATTGTTTCTAACGAAAGCATGAGCTGTTAGAAAGGATTTAGGATACGGCAGCCGTGGTACTGTTTGACAGACTACACATGTTTTCTCAAGCTGTTTTGGCAGTTTGGTTTCCAGATACCTACATTATGGGGAACAGTTGGCTTCTGAATATTGGAGTTAAGGAGGCAGCACTTGAGTGTCCTAGCCATAAGTTCTGTGACTATGAGCAGTTGCAGAAAAGATAGCTTTATATTTAAATCCAGTAGTTTTGCATTTGTTTCCTCAACCTGGTGGTTGTGGAGGAGCCTCTGCAGAAAAGTGAGGAGTCTGTTTCAAAGGCTGGGATTTTGAGCCCTTTGAAAACTTGGCCCCAGGTGGTTTTCATTAGAATGGCAAATTCATATCTCAAAAGAATGGCATTCAGGAACCTGCCAAACAGGCCAAGCTCTGCCCTCAGATTTCAGTGGGATTGCTTAGAGCAGTTGAGCTTTATCCTATACAAGTGCCAAGAGGGTAGAGATTTCCCAGAAGCAAAAGGTGTGGTTGGAATTAAATCCTTCTGCAACTGCTGCTCAGCACTAGGGGCTGAGGTACTGGAAACCTCTCTGCCAGTTTTCCTGTTGTGGATATATACAAGGCCACTGGAGTGGCACAAATTGTCTCTGGTTCAACTTCACTGGTCCTTCCAGCAGCTGGATTTTCCAATGCTCCATAGGGAACAAAAAGTGTAGAGGTATTTGCTTGGCATTTTTATTCTTTTTCCCCTCATAGTTGTGCTTCTACCGAGGACTTGGGTGGGTATTTGCTTGGCATTTTTATTCTTTTTCCTCTCATAGTTGTGCTTCTACTGAGGACTTGGGTGCTCTTTGCAGAAGTATCATTGTAAGAAACTATTACCAGTCATGCTATCAGTGCAGCAGAATTTATAATCTGAAGGTTGGGTTTCCAATTAAGGGCTTTGTGTGTAGCTAGTAATCTATTTTTTTGCAGATGAAATGTGTGGAATGTGTTACAAATACTCTCTAAGCACTCAGATGTTTCAGTGTGCTTACTGCCACTTTTTGTACAAAGTATTTGTCTCCAGGAAGACAAGTATGACATGAGCTTGGATGGGACACCTGGAGGGGCTTGCTTATACCCAGTATTAGTTGAACTGACATAAAGCCTTGCTGCTTTTATGCATGTTGACAAAAGGAATCCTAAGGAATTTCAGAAACCTGAAGAACCTGCTAGATCTCTGCAGAACAAAGGTGGCAGAAGGCTTGTGCAGAAACAGCATTTTACACTGCTGTCTTTCTCTCCACAGCCAGTGGTTTAGTGTACTGAGTCAAGTCCACGCATCCACAGAGCAAGAGATCCAAGAGATGCACGATGAGCAGGCAAATCCACAGAATGCTGTGGTAAGTCTAAATCTGAAGAACTTTTCAAAGCAAATCTTTTTAGAAAACAGAGGCACTGTGGTGGCCACAGCTTCTGAGAGTCACAACCTAGGTTTCCTTAAATGCAGTGGTAGCTGTGACACTGGCTAGAGGCTCCACATCCTTGGTCCTGTAGCTATACGAGAAGAGAGTGTAACTCCTGATTCCTCTCCCATTATTCACCTTGATGAAAAATGAGTGTTGTTTTCAGGGGTGTGTTTCTTCTGGTCCAGTTCCCTTGCACCACAATGTATGCTTGAGTTTAAAGTTTTGCAAAGATAACAGTTAATGAGTAAAATACAAAAACAAGAGTTGAAAATTTGAGATTTCTCTTGATCCTGCATTTATGATCCATACAACATACACTGGGAATAAATGGGATATATTTGGAACCTAATATCAAGCAAAGGGAAATAAAAACTTGTGCTTAATGACTTCAGAAGTTTGTTCTGAGAGGATGCCATTCATATTGGGGTGGCACTTTTAGGTGAAAAATTCAAGCAGGTTTGGAAGCATAGAAAAATAAGAGCAGTTTTTGAGCTGCCTCCAGCTTAACTAGAGATAATCTTTGACTGTATCTGTTTATCTGAGTCTCTTAGTTTTCCCCTCAGCAGTTTTAATGGTTAAGACAAACTGATGCCCAAATCTGCAGTTCATTTTGCTTGATCAAAGCTGCTGCTCCTTTCACCTGTCTCTGAGTACTGTGAGTAATGTAATAATAAGTGTCTTCCTCCTTTTCTGGTTGGATATTTGTTTATAGGGTACACTCGATGTAGGACTAATTGATTCTGTCTGCGCTGCTGACAATCCAGATAGGTAAGTCAGAACCATGCCTGGTGACTTTCTTTTTCTCCTTTCCCTAGCCAAAATCAGGTGATTTATACTTTAGTCTCTATATTCTACTGACCAACCATGCATTAAAGTGATTCATTATTGCCTCCCTTTTCATTAGTACTAAACACCACATGTTAAAACGTGGAATAGGAATGGTCATGGTTTTTGTGGGGGCCTCACTAACTTCCCTCATGCTGCTTCATATATGAACTGTTCAGCTCCTAAAGTGATCCAAAAGTAGAAGATTAAATATTTCTTTCATTTATACAAGTAATGCTCCTGAAAAAGAGCAGCTTATTTTTGAGTCTTTTAGCAATATAGTAGGCAGAAAAGTTCATTTTAACATTTTTCTGTTCAGCTTCTCATGCAAGAATGTTGTATTCTACAGGGATGAGAATTATCTCCCAGAATAAAAATGTCTTGTAACAAAGAAGACAATGCAGCATAAAAAATAACCGTCAGGATATTCTTAGTTCTTGAATTAGTAACAGTGTTTTGGGGGATAAAAAGTAATCTGGGTTCAGGCTATGACTCTGGTTATAAGGTTACTGGCTGTGAGGTGTTATTTGTAATGTAGGAGTACATTCCAGTCTCCTCATTCCACATATGTGAAATGGCTGGGTTTAAATTACTGGTTTGTCCTTGGCCTGCCAAGACCCTCATACCACAAGTTAACAGTGATTATAAGCCCAGGTTTCCTGAACAATACAACACAAATGTCCAGAGCTTTCAAAATTTTAAGGTAGAAAGGCATTTCTCCTGTAAGCATTTTTCACACAGATTTTTTTTCTTGTAATTTCTTTTTTTCAGTTCTCTGAGTCTAAATCAGTGATGGAAGGTTTTTCAATTAGGAAATGAATTTGACTAATACAGGCAATAGATTATTTTATCTTGACACATACGAGCCCACTGCTGCAAGCTCAAAAGAGTGAAGCTGAGCAGAGAGCCCTTTGAATCTGTATTCAGAAAGAATACCAAGAACAGGCCTTCTGTCATTTTCCTAAACTGGGGAGGAGGAGAGGGGAGCCTGGAAGGTTGGCTACTGTTGATCATAGGCTCCTGTTTGATAGCTTAATCTACCTTAGTTTATACCTTAGCACTCTCTTTTTTCAGTTCTCTTGCCACTGCTCATCTATAGCTTCTGTCCTGTGTACCACATTATCCAGCTTTCTAGAGTGTGCTTCATGTAGCTCAATCTAAAGCTGCCTCCTCTTCACACATTTTAAAACATGGTCAACAAATTCTTCTGCTCAGTTCACATGCTGACTTACTTCCTCATCCACCACTCTTCCTGAATAATGTAGCACTTCACCACCACAGAGACTGTGACCAAAACATTGGATTCTGATCACTCCCTTACCCTCTTCTGTGGCACTGGTGAGCACTAGCTGTAGATAACTCTGAGATAACTTTCAAGATAACTTAGACACTTCTCTTGTTACTGGATTTACTGTAACCTCCCTTCACATAGTTTTCGAATTTTTCCTCCTAATAGTTTTATTTTCTTTTTTCTTTAACCTGTCATCCATCTAGCTTTTACATGGCACACACTGTTTTTGGAGAATGGTATCATATTTGGGTGAACCTCTCCATCGTCATAAACAATTTTTAGTTGATTCTAATTTCTACCCAGTTACCTTCTTGCAAGAACTGTAAAAGGAAGACCCGTGAGCTGCTCATGGCCCAGACTGCATCGTTGCCATTTTCTACGTCTGATACAGTTCTTAAAAACTGTGTGTGTTCCACGACAAAAAAAATTAATGATAAAGGGTTAAAGCAAGCGTTTGCAGGCTGAAGAACCTGCCTCTCTAATCCAGAGAGCCATCAGCACAGTTCACTTGGGCTAGTTCTTCATGCTTCAGTGAATCCTGGTGTAGGATTGGGTAAAAGCCAGATTCTCATTAAAAATAGATTGTACTCTTTGCAAATTGGGTTGCACTGCATTAAAAATAAAAGAATCTGTGTTCTCATGCTGATTCACTATAGACCTTTGTAAATTGTAGTTGGTTTTAGCTAATGTAACCACTGAAGCAGACACTCTAAATAGACCTGACCCTGAAATAGAGTTCTGATTCACATCCAAAGCTGATTAAAGATTGGAGGTTTTTCTCACCATAGATTTGAGATAGGACAAGTTGCAATTTAATGTAAACTTTCCCACCATTCAGAGCCCTAGCATTTTGGTGTGTATCCAACATAAGAGTCCTTTCAAATGCTTAATTTTTTTTTTTTTAGGTTTAGTGGTATTGAAATAAATGTTTTAGATGTGAACAGTATTTGCCTGAATAGAAAATGCAAACTAGGGACAGTGTTTATGGTTATGGTGAGTGAGGTAAACAGTACGTATGTTGATTGGAAAGGCTTTTTCAATCTTCCTTTATTTTCATAGACCCAATTCATTTGTGATCATCACTGCTAATCGTGTTCTTCACTGTAATGCTGACACTCCTGAGGAGATGCATCACTGGATAACCCTGCTCCAGAGGTCAAAGGGGGACACTAGAGTGGAGGGACAAGAATTCATTGTGAGGGGTAAGGACTGAGTGGGGCAGTAACAAAGTAAATAACATCCGTTAAGCTTCGAAGAGATTTTATTGTGGGAACAATCATGGGTAATATGCCAGCATGGTAGCGTTGGAGCCTCATCTTTGTATGGTGGAGTTTACTCACAAATTAATACAGCTGAAATTATACTCCTGCTGTGCCATGTAAGAAAACACTGTAATGATGACAGAAGTATTTTTGTAATTGACAAAAGAATTTTTCTAGGTAAACACCAAAGTTGAAAAGTTTTCATATTAATTTTATTATATCTTCATCATTTCATGGTTTGAGAATTTTATTTAAAGTTGTTTAATATGTGGGCTAAACAATTCACATCATATTTTTCTTGTTGTTGAAAGTATACAATTAACGTTTAGCAACCTAATTTTTTCCAACTCTGTTTAAAAAAAAAAAAAAAAAGCATGATTCAAATTGTTTCTTAACAGGATGGCTACACAAGGAAGTAAAGAACAACCCAAAGATGTCTTCATTAAAACTAAAGAAGCGTTGGTTTGTTTTGACACACAATTCTTTGGACTACTACAAGAGTTCAGAGAAAAATGCTTTGAAATTGGGTACGCTGGTCCTGAACAGCCTCTGCTCAGTGGTCCCACCTGATGAAAAAATCTTCAAAGAGACAGGTAATTGTTTGCTCTTGTTCAAATATACTTTCAGTTGCCTTCTGACCTACTACCTAGTAATGCAACAAACAGTACATAAGAATCTTTTAAATGGATTATTATGGTTGCAGTTTGATGAACAAATCAGGTTCCTAACTCACAGAGGCATTTTACAGGGAATTACTGTGCGAAAAACAGAGGTAATAATGTATACAGGAGTAAAGTTTGTTCTCACCAACACTCAAGTTATCACAGACTGACACTGCTGCTAAGTTAGTGTGAACACTTATGCTTACACATCAAAGACCTGGGGAAAGACATATGAGCAGCACTCTCCTCATACATTATTTTATGTGCTGAGGAACTGTGAGTACCAACATTGGTGGAACAAGTATAGGAAGATCTACAGTAAGGGTCCAGTTTGTGCTAACCTACATATTACACCTGAGTCAGCTCTGCTGTGCATTTTCAAAACTGGCTTTCAACTTGGAAGTGGCTGTTTGCAAATGAGAAGTGACTGTTGACAGCCCTATATAATCTCATTGGGATCACTGACGCTTCAAAGAGGCTTTTGCTAGTGAAAGATGAAATAGATTTTGTTTACTTGAATCTGCTTCATAAAAAGCCTATACAATGATGCAGAGAGAGAATTTGAACTGAAATGCTCTTCCTATCGTAGTTGTCTCTTCACTGGTGTGAAATTAATTACTTTTTTGCAGAAGAGGTAGTTCATGCTTTATACCTGTTTGTACATGTGCCACAGATGATGAAAGACTATCGCATACAGAGCAAGAGTGTCTCGGATTTTTCAGTTAGACAGGACTGGAAAAGTAGGGCCCACAAGCTGCAAGGAGCTAACAGTATTCCGTAGCGGTGTTGTCTTATGATCACTTTTACTAAGATTACTGGGTCAAACAGGAGGCGGCACGATGGTGGTTGTACTCTGAGATTATGCCTAGGCTTTTTTAAAGGAGAGAATCTTCTCAGAGTATCTGTATTATGATACTTAATTACTTGTACAACTTCGTAGTTCCAGAAAAACTGCCAGCATGATCCAGAATGCAGCACTTTCGGTCTGATGGGACTACAGCTGTTTTCAGATGGAATTTGGTTGGGGTATTTTTATAGATACCTTCTGTGATTAATAATTTTTACTGTTCTGGTAGGTTATTGGAATGTAACTGTATATGGACGCAAACATTGTTACCGTCTCTATACAAAATTGCTTAATGAGGCGACCCGCTGGTCAAGTGCCATCCAGAATGTGATTGACACAAAAGCTCCAATTGATACTCCAACTCAGCAACTTATTCAGGATATTAAGGTAGGCACAAACAGGAGGGCCTGGAGTGGGAAAGAATTGTTGCTTAAATCTTTTTTATGTTGGCTTTGCCATGTTGGGTAATAAAGCAGAAAATTAAGTTCTAATCACACTAGGACATGGACTGAAATTGTGGAACCTGAATGCATTCACTGCCCTGAGAAAGGAATTTCTATCTAAACAGTAAAAGAGCAAAGTATGAAATGCAACTTGGAGGGCAAGAGGGGTAACTTTTTTCTGTGAAAACAGTAACAAGTTTTGCTGGTTTGTGTAACTTGATAGACGTTGTCTACACTGGCAGTAGAGCGCAGTGTGCAGGTTCATGAGTTAGCAGACCTGTTTGGCAATGTCCACAGTGAGCAGCACACCAGGATGTGGACTAGACAGCTCTTGTGATTTGTTTTCTTTATGGTTCTTTCCTTGTTCTGTGAGAGTATGGGCTAAGCATCTCATGTCTCTGCGTGATGAGAATCATACTTTATGCTTACTGGTTTATGGTCCTGTTAGAGACATTGCATGCGTAGCCAGAAAATGTCCTTCTGGAGATTTTTGCTAATGTGCTTTCAAGAGAGAGGACAATGATTCTCAGAAGAGACCAAAAAGGTAGGTAAGAGGGGAGAACTGCTACTAACCTTTTCCCTTGGAGAGTGCCACCTCTTCTCTCATAGAAAAGAAGTATCAAGTCCTAAATTCCAAGTCTATGACTGCTGTTCTTCAGAGCAGTAGACATATGTGGAAGTTCAGGGCTGACAGAAGAGAGTGGTCACACATCTGTCAAACTTGGCCTAAGAAAGAACAGTATTCAGACGTCAGAGTGGGTGCATCAGGTTTACAGCATCAGTTTTTCTAGACTACTTTGTTATGGTAGCTCCTGTAGATTCTAACTGAAAAGGCCAATTAGTTATGCTGGAGAAATATTTTTAAAGAAATATATTTAAATATGTTTATAAATGTCTTACATCTTACAGATGTCTTCCAGTTATGAAATACTGGAGTAAAAATGATTGTAAAATGAAAATGCACTTCAAAAAATTTTATGCAACTTCATTTTTGCCTCCTGCAGCTCTGCTGTGGTTGGTTTTTTACTGCACAGATGGAGTAAGCTTATGCAAGGCCTGAGGTTAGCAGATACTGAGCATTCATAGCCTGCAGAGTGCCCTGGCAGCCACAGTACCCACAACTGGATTTAGCACCAAATAGTGTCGGTAACACCGATGACTAATTTTTCTGCCGCCAACCTAAGGGCACGAAGCATTGCATCATTCTTAATGCTGGACCCCAAATCCTGCTTTTTTCTTACCCCAATAGGAAAACTGCCTGAATGCTGATGTAGTTGAACAGATATATAAGAGAAATCCTATTCTCCGTTACACTTATCATCCGTTGCACTCGCCGTTACTGCCACTGCCATACGGGGACATCAATCTAAACTGTAAGTTTTTCAATCATAGAAACACTTCTCCTTATGAAAGACTAAACCAGAGGATGGGATTTTTTAGTCAGTGGGCTTTAGTGAAGTAACAGTAGGCAAAATATATGTTTATAATACAAATAGACAAGTTTCCCTATTCTCTTCTGGGAGGCAGAGAATAGCAGTTTGTTTAGCATAGAGCCATGGGCTTGTTGTGCTCCTGCATGGGTGTTACAGAAGGAGAGGTTGCTATTGCTGCTGTACTGTAAGTTTGTTACCCTCAGCGACACAGCTAAGAAGACTGAAGAAGACTGAGTTTGAAAAAGCCGTGTGCTGAAATAAGCAGCTAAACCCAATTCATTCAGTCTCCTTGAATCATATTCTCCTTGTCAAATTATTGTTGCTTCCTACCCCATGTGAGGAGCTGCAGCAGCCACAACTTCCAATTAACAAGTATAAATTTCATCAGTTGTGGTGGGAAGCATTATTTATGGGAAACAACATTTGAATGGACATGGTTTTAAAAAGTAATGGTTCATTTACTCCTGAAACAGGGGTAATCATGTCTTTTAATATCCTTGGCTGAATCACTAACTTAGTCTTTTTTGAATGAATGGTTCAGAGCTATTGATGGTTGTGAATTTGATGTCCTTAAATGGATTTGCTTATCTTATTTTGCAATTGCTTATTAAACAAGATATGCCTCAGCTCAGAAGTTTCATCCTTGGGAGGAGGGTGGGAGGTCACAGTTGATTAAAAGCTAAGGTATTTCAGGAAAGACTTCCTGGTAACTCAAGCAATATTCTTCGGCTGAAATGACAAGGAAAATCCTAGGAGAAACCTTTTCCTTCTCTTCCCCCTCCTCCTGTACAGTGGCAAGGCACAGTTCTGATCTTCTCCCCACCTGAGCTGGTTGACCCATGCAGGGGTGCAGCATGGTTGCTCTCTATTCCCCACAGACAGGAACACCTAGCTCCCTCTGAGACAGAAGTCTGGCCAAAGTCTTCCCATAGTAAATGTAGCTCCACAGATGGACCGATGCTCAGTTATTGCCTTCACTTGCAGTTGGGTTCAGGTTAGAAACTTCATATTCATAACATACATCTGTACTGTTTTGTGCTTTGATGGTTAGTAGGCCTGACTGATTCAGACATCAGAGCAATCTCTTCCAAGAACTGCATGGTTCTTTTAAGTAGATTGTAAAAGTTGTTAGCCCACGTTGAATAACCTGTAGTACAAAAAAAATCACCACCTTTTCCAGCACTCAAAAAGCAAGCTGCAGTGTCATGGCAATGATTTAGTTTAGTTCAGTAGTATTGTTTGGGTTTAATTGAAATGCTACTGCTGTAGACAAAAGTGACATATCTTGTATCACGTATCACGTATCTTCATCACTTTCCATAGTGCAGTCATGCTTTACCTCACTTACGATCTGATTAGATTTTCACTTTCTTGCAACAGCAGTGTGGGTTGCTCTGGAAGGAAGATTGTCCATCAAAAAAACTCTGATCAAGCAAGATACATGTTGTCAGAAAATGTAAAAATGGGATTTCATTAAATTCAGGACAATCAATAGCAAAATATTTCATAAAATGAGTTTGCATCACACATTTGATATGGAAAAGATCCACTCTAATATCCTGCATAGTAAGGGTCACAGAATAGCATTAAGCAATTCCTAAGTTAAGCCTGAGTGCTTTCTCTTTCATCTCTCAGTCTAAGCACCTTTCTCCCTATTTTTCTTTTGTAGTGCTGAAAGACAAAGGCTACACAACTCTGCAGGATGAAGCCATCAAGATATTTAATTCTTTACAGCAGCTGGAGTCTATGTCTGATCCCATCCCTATAATCCAAGGTATCCTCCAAACAGGACATGATTTACGACCTCTTCGAGATGAGCTCTACTGTCAGCTCATCAAGCAGACCAATAAAGTGCCTAACCCCGGGAGCGTGGGGAACCTGTATAGTTGGCAAATACTCACCTGCATGAGTTGCACATTTCTGCCGAGTCGCAGCATCCTCAGATATCTGAAGTTCCATCTCAAAAGGTGAGAAGCTTTGAACTACTAAAGCAAGAAGTTTCTTCACTCACTGTTTTCTTCACCACAACTTGTAACACTGTTTAGATATCTTGAAGTGAGACTTGAAGATGCATTCACTTAGTGAACTGGTTATGCCAAACAAGGAATCTAAAAAGAAAATGTTGTAGGAAGAGCATGCATGAGTTGATCTGGGTGGAATTATTCTTATTTGAAGAATCAAGCAAAATCCCACAGAATCGAATGCACAATTTGTTAATGTTGACAGATGGGGGGGCTTTCAGTAATTGTATAAACTTGCTTAAGTGACTTGCAGCCCATACCCCCAGGTCCCATTCTCAACTGCCCAAATCAACCTGTTAAAAATTATTCATCCTGCTTACCTTAGTTTTACGAGATATGCATCATGCACATAAAAATAGATTATCATATTTAAAGATGTATTTGAAGTAAAAATGTCTGTTTGCCAATCTAATTCTAAGATATTAGTGACCATTAAAAGAAATAATAAATCATTGTTGACAGTTGAGCATTAACCAGAATGTGGAGTTCCTCTTGCTGTGATGCAGCAGAAGAATGCAGAGTGTGTCATTAGGAAAGTTAGTTCACCACCAACAAACTATTCTCAATAATTTAGAAGTCTTGGCTGTATTTGCTAGAGCATGGACTTTGTCAATCACTTTCCTAAATCTAATTATTTTATAAATATTTGTAAAATGCTTGTATTGAAGATAACACCTTTCACCCAAAGTAAGATCAGTGAAAAATATCAATCACTGTATATAACCGTTGAAATGAAGAAATCCAACATTGATTCACTTTCTCAGTTTAACTCAGCTCATAAACTGGCCTCCTAGTTAAAAAAATTGCAGCTGATACAACATTTGTAGGTTGGTTTCAATATTGTAGATGCATAGTCGTCTTACGGCATTTCTATAATCCTGCAGTCATCTTTTTATACCTTGTAGATCACGAATCACTGTACTTTTCCACATAAATTAAACCTTAGTAGCTCCAAGAAGCTGATATTTTATCACTGGAAATACTATAGAAATACTCTACTGAAAGCTACAGTTCAACAGTTTTCAGTAATTAAGAGTTGAGTTCATTAAAGTTGTTAGTGAATACTCATAATACTAAGTGTTAAACAGTAACATCTAGAGAGAATCTTTAAGAAAATCAGGAATAGAAATCAAATATCCTAAGTGACACTACCACAATACTGAGCAGTCAAGTATGTTTTATTGTTTTTTCTGTAATACCTTAGTGCAGTTTAGTCTTCATTCAACAACTGTTACTGACAAAAAGGGAGCTGATTACAAGATTTTCATAGTTATCTTGCTGTCAAATCTGAGTCATTATAAAATTCCTTCAGTTAATGCTATAAAGGTAGTTCAGTTTTTTCTTTCTGTTAGGTTTGTAGAACAAAGTGATGAAAGTATATAAGTTATCCCACAGTAAATCACAAGTTAGAACACTTCCATTGACAGCGAAGATAAACCTTTGAGCGTGTCAATTAAATAGTGTACTGGATATAGAAGTGCTTTCAGGAAAAAAAAAAACAACAACATTCTCAAATAAGTAAACTTTCTATTTCACTGACCGGCAGCTTGAAGTAGCAATATTTGTCTCACAGGGTTCGTGACCAGTTTCCAGGAACTGAAATGGAGAAATACGCACTTTTTACTTACGAATCTCTTAAGAAAACCAAATGCAGAGAGTTTGTGCCATCGCGGGATGAAATAGAAGCTCTGATCGGCAGGCAGGAGATGACATCCACAGTTTATTGCCATGGTGGGGGCTCCTGTAAGATTACAATCAACTCGCACACTACAGCTGGAGAGGTGAGAAGTGGTGACAGAACAGCTTTGGCCCAAAATCAGTGTGTCTCTTCATGTGCTGGTTCCAGATAGTAGTAGCATTAAACTTCGGAAGTGCTGGGGGTTTCTCTGCTGGTTCCTCTTTTCAGGGAGGGAAGACTTACAGAGCCGTCCCTCCAACCTCCCAGTGTGTTCTGAAGACATCCCTGCTATAAAAACTGTCTTTATTCTGCAGAGGATTACCCAACTGTAGTGCCCTCTTACAGGAAGAAATTACAGGACAGACTAAGCAATTCAGTAGAGGCATTATTTGAATAACTTCAGTAGATAGGGGTGTGTATGAGAGCCAAGTTGCTTGCTAAAACTGTAAGACTCTTGCTGAGTTGGTGAAATATAGGGGTTATATCTGGCCAGGTGATAGCACATATGTATTCTGAAACAATCAGCATAATTTAGTATAAAAATTAAAGTGGAATTTGACAACAATTAATTCTGCTGATGAGAACATGTTAGCAACATTTTTAGCCTAATGTAAAACCTAGCTCTGAATTTTTTTCTTATTATTTGTCTTACTCTGTGGTGCTGCTTTTCCATGCTATGTTTTTTTCATCTGCTGTTTTTCATTAGGTGGTTGAAAAGTTAATTCGTGGCTTGGCCATGGAGGATAGCAGAAACATGTTTGCTTTGTTTGAATACAATGGAACTACTGATAAAGCAATTGAAAGCAGAACCATTGTGGCCGATGTCTTGGCAAAGTTTGAAAAGTGAGTGTGCCTCTCCTTCTCTCTCACCACTAATAAGTAGCAATTAAATAAATTTCCAGTGTCAATAATGCTGAATTTTCTCTTTCTCTTGCTTGTTTGTGATGATGCAGCTGAATTACACACATGCCCGTTCCTGGAACAAAAGCATCTATTTTTTTTTCTTAAAGGAATTCATGAGCCACCTATTCACTTGTGTTTGGTTTTCCTCTGTCTTGACACCAGTAGAGTAATATCTCTCATCATTATTTCCACATTTTCTTTTCCACTACTACAAATTTTTCCACTGTAACTAGTATTGTGGCTATGCCTCAGTACTGGGAGAACTGGACTCCAGGCAGTCATTGCCATTCTGACTACCTGTTGCCTAACTTCACGTGGAAGTCACCACAATACAGCTCACAACATTTTTCTTACCAGTAAAATTGAAACCACGCATAGCACTGTAGTAAGAAAAAGTAATACAAGCCTAAATACCTGTTTGTCATCCTTATGTTATATGCATGGCAATCAGCCTCCTTTCTCCACATAATAATAGGAGAGGGAAATGTCTAAAGAGTTGTGCAATTACATTTTATAACAGGACTTAATAATGTTGCTTTTATCAACACCTGACTGAGCCACAAATAAGCATTTATTAAGAGCATTTGGGTTAGAAACAGTTGACTGAGAACTGAGTCAACATTTGTAAGTCCTTGATTTTGCTGTAGGCTCTACATACACATTCACCCACCCCTCTCTCCCCCCAGGTGACATCAGTCGGTTGTATTGCTGAAGACAATTAGCTCCTGTCAACAATACCAGATTGATAGCAGGTGTAAGAAGGCAAAACTCAGCTGATGCCTTGCTTAGATTCTTCAGGTGTCAATTTAGAAAGGAGTTTGATTTCACAGATCTGATCTCTCTGTCCCTTTTCACACAACCATGCAGGCTTGCTGCCACTGCTGAAGCTGGGGAGATGCATTGGAAGTTCTATTTCAAGCTCTACTGTTTCCTGGACACAGAAAACGTCCCAAAAGATAGCGTGGAATTTGCCTTTATGTTTGAGCAGGTAAAGGACAAAGGTTCCGTTTATGAGGCACTTTTAAAAGAAGGAAAAAAGCAAGAGATCTAGGCAGCACAGAGAGACTTTTAATTATGTGTCTATTTAACTAAATGCACTACTACTCCAGCATCAAGTGCAAAGAAGGCAGTTCAGTGGTCAAAATACGCTTATTCTAAGTGAAGCACATGTGATTTACCTAGTGTTAGGACTTTTTTTACTTCTGCATTACTTGTGAATTGCTTTATGCATAGTGGTAAAAAATTGGGTAACTGGCTCTAAGCTGGATAAAAAAGGATAATACTTGCTTTTAATTTTGCTCTTATGAAACCATTTTCTTAAGTGCAAGAAATAAAGTGAAAAATGTGTAATTGGAAAGCAAATTAATTATTAGAGACCCATGTTGGCAGCTGTACAGAACTAATCAAACGGTAGCTTTTTCTCTTTTCAAAAACTGATTATTTCATAGGCACTATAGTAAAACAAATCAGTCCAGTCTCAGCAGTAACCATAAGACAGCTATGATGAGCAGAAATACACTTAATGAATGTGCTGAGTTCAGAATGAGGCCATATTGTAAAACATAAAATAAATGAAATTGATTTATAATGAAAATTAAATGTGTTAGCAGTTGGATTTCTATTATTATATGAAGTCCTGTAGTTGCTTAGAAACTCTCTAATGGCATTTATTATTGTTGATTGACCCTCTCCTTTTCTACTATATTGCAAATGGCTAAAAATTTTTCCAGTGGACAGCTTCTTTCGAGTGGGCGCTAGAGGCAGATAAAGATTTCTGTGTAAGGCTATTTGCAATGCCAAGACACTGACGTTCTGTTGGCAAGCAAGCCTGATGTGATCAAGAACTGAGATGTTTCACTTTTCAAATGTATGAAGCCTTTTCCCCTTCCACAGGATCAGAAACATCCTGACTGTAATACAGTATTTCTTCCTTGTTTACGGTTTAGGTTTTAAGGCACCATATTACATCATGAGTCTACCAAAAGTTTCCTTCCAGAGCCTACTACTGTAGCTCAAACCAGAACTGCTTATTGTTGGCTGAAGGATCTGGGCAATAGATTGCCTTGGTTGGACTTAGAAACGTTGCCCTTCTGACTTTCTGTCTGTTTTTACATACTGAGGAGTCAGCCAGTTAATGTCTCTGCTTTGGGATGAAGTTCAAACAGTAAGAAGAAAATCCATGAGAGCTCTGCATCAGATATTTTACATTACATTATTGGTTTAAGAGTCAGATTTAGATAGTTTTCTGTATGAACAGCTAAAACAAGCACAGTCGCTGAAGCAGACTGTTTTCATGTAGCATTCTGTGCTGACTGGTGTTTAGCCAAATATTTTATGTCTTGCCAAGACCAATAATATTTCAGTTATAAAGCATGGCACATTCAATCCCTATGATTAATGTTACAGCAATACCTCAAAGAGGTGACTTATTACATTCTAACATCAGTTCTATCTGCTTTTGATGTAAGTCATCAACTTTTTCCAGCCAATTAAGAAAGTTCCCTTTTTGTCATCAGTTTCAGTTCTGTAACCTACATTATTTTAAAGTCCGAGTCCTTTAATTCATACGACGCTGAAGAAAATCTTTTGGTTCCTCTTTCTCATTAAAATACTGCCCTTTCATTTTCCCAAGACAACTCTTTCTTCTGCATGTGTACAATCTCAGGGAAACAGTCTTGCGTGTTTAAAGGCACATTTTGTCTCCATCTTAAGCGTACGCCTAAATGAACTAGCATGCACTTAGATGTGAATTATCTCTGTGTGTTTACTAAACTGCTTGCAATTCCTGCAGCTCCAGACATGAGGCATGTGTGTTTCCTGTACTACTGTCATATGAAAAAAAAAAAAAATATTCGTAGCTGCTGCACATTTCCAAAGGTTTGAATGGGTGTGCAAAGAGATAGGGTTTGAAAGTGTCATCTTGGTTCAGAATCTCATCCCTGATGCTACAGACCACTATAACATATAAACGTTTCACTAACTTTATCTGGGATTCATTGAAGATTTACTGCTTTCCTCCCTCAGTGAGGTTTATTACAAAGCTGTCCTAGGGCTTTGCTTGTTTAGCTGGAAATACCAGTTTTCACAGCCAGATTATTGACAGCAGTAAGCAAAAGTAGATATCCATTTCTTCCTAGTGCCCTTGAACATAGATGGCTTCCTCCCAATCAGATGTTTAGATCCTGATTTTCTCCCTTTTACATTTTATTTTCCTTTTTAGTAATTCAGTTGCTCTTATATATGTGAGTTCACTAAGAGCCATACTAGTAACAGTAATTCCTGTCTAGCAAGTTCCTCAATTACCTTGCAGTTCTTCTGCAAGGTAACCCTGTCTTGCCTAGTTTAACAAATTTGCCAAGAGATTTACCACACTTGATTTATTTAATGGACCGTTCATTTCAGATCCTGGGTTTTGCCTGGCAGTAAATCTACTTCCCATTTCTCTCTTAGTCCTTTCAAAGACCAGTTTGTACATAAACAGCTACCTTTTTCCCCTTGATAGGCTCATGAAGCAGTGATTAGAGGACATTATCCTGCTCCTGAAGAAACCCTCCAGGTCCTTGCAGCTTTGCGTCTTCAGTACCTTCAGGGAGATTACACTCTGCATACCACCGTACCAGAAATGGAGGAAGTCTATCCCTTGCAAAAGCTGAAGTCTCGGATTACGCAGTCTACCAAAACGTTTACTGCAGCAGAGAAGGCTGAGAAGAAACGAGCCAGCTTTCTTGAAGGAACATTGCGGAGGAGTTTTCGCAGTGGCTCTGTCAGCAAACAGAAGGTTGAGGAGGATCAGATGTTAGACATGTGGGTCAAAGAGGAAATCTCGGCTTCCAGGACTAGCATTATTGACAAATGGAAAAAACTCCAGAGGATGAACCAGGAGCAGGCTATGGCAAAGTATATGGCTTTGATTAAGGAATGGCCTGGCTATGGCTCAACTCTCTTCGACGTAGAGGTGAGTAAGACCTCCTGAACACTCAAACTACAGTTTACACTGTATAAATTATGATTTCATTAGAGTAGCGAAACCATAAATATGGTATCGCAATGCTCAGACAGCTGATATAATAACATCTTAGGTATTAAAAGCATACTCCCGTTAGCAAGCACTGTAGCTATTTAAATCCACTAGTTAGCCATAAAATACAGAGGGATGGAATGCTAGTCTGATGGGTTGCAGGCAAGTTTGAGAAGTGTAAAAGGCTGAGTTCAAAGAGGGACAAGCAATATGCGCATTTTAAAAAATGGTTACAGACAAGAACGTCAACAGTAAGTGTTGTGTGGCTCCTAGTGTTCCCTTTGCTGTTAATTTACATTTTGTCCTCTAGTGTAAAGAAGGGGGATTCCCACAAGAGTTGTGGCTTGGAGTCAGCGCTGATGCGGTTTCTGTCTACAAGCGTGGGGAAGGAAGGCCTCTGGAAGTGTTTCAGTATGAACATATCTTGTCATTTGGTGCACCGCTTGCCAACACCTACAAGATCGTGGTGGATGAGAGAGAACTGCTTTTTGAAACTAGTGAGGTAACAGCAAGAAGGAATTTTGTTATTGTGGTCTTCCTGTTGTGATAGCCAGGCTACTTGGTAATTTAAGTAATTGCTGCAAATGTTACAGATCTATTCAAGATCCCTGTAAAGCTAAAGGGGAGACATAACGAGATGGATAGAAGTGCTGAGTATTTTTATTTGCTTAACCACAAAAGGGTTTTGTTGAAAGCTGGACAGTTTTATATTGTTAGTGTCTAAAGAAATTCATTGACATACTGTTACCATACTAAGAACTTTGCTCTTTATACTCTTTTGCCAGGTGGTTGACATTGCAAAGCTGATGAAAGCTTACATCAGTATGATTGTGAAAAAACGCTACAGCACCTCTCGATCAGTGAGCAGTCATGGAAGTCAGGGCAGCTCCAGGTGAAAACAAAACCAGTTCTACTGTGCTCTAAATAGAACATATCACTGCTTGGCCTCAAAACGACCTGATGATACTGATCACATCTGTTGACAAGCTAGCCAAGAACCGGAGTTTCCACGGAAAATATCTTCAAACATTGTTTTAGAAAGACCACAGGATGGGGACGAGAAAATCAGCTGAAATAGTCAAATACTAGAACTGCTGGCTCGTTCAAAATTTTCCAAAGCATTATTATCTTCAGTTGATGTAACAAATGCCTTAAGACTTGATCCACTGCAATACAAGCAGTAATAAGTGCCTTACGCTATTAGACCCAATTTGTATTGACCTAAAATTGCTGATAAAAGTCAAGAATATTTTTTTTGTCCTTTCAGAACACTGAAAGTTACGTTCATCTATTCTGCACTAATCTACTGGCCTGTATACATGTGGGAAGGGGGAGGGAAGAAGAGCAAGGTATATTTTTTTTGGAGAGCTGCTGGCAGCCTTCCTGATGGACACCAACATTTTGTTTCCCCTCGCTTCCATGGATGTGCACATTGTGCATGGGTATTTGAGCTGTCAGTAAAAATTGACTAATTTTATTCTGTATTTCACAAGTCTTTTGAAGCAAAGGGAATAAGTATGTGCAATGGTGTAAACAGTCTTTCTGTACATTTTAATAGTTCAGAGTTATAGTTGTTACAATTGTATGGTTACTTTATAAGCAGTTTTATTAACAAGTAAATTTCAAAATTTTCATACATTGATTTTACTATTGCAAATATGTATTACCATATAAGTAGCAGAAGTCTGCATTCTGTATCTGCTGTATTATAAAGAGAGATGTAGCTGAGAATATTTATAGACTACCCTAATATGGAAATACAGTTATCAGTTCAATACTCCATAATGTCAGCTTAAGTTTTCAATATTAAATTTTTCTTTTAAAGACATCACTCTTTTATAATTCTGGCTGGACTCTCCAACCCAGACTGACTGCCAAAGGTCAGAGCCCTTCAGAATTGACTAGAGAACACAAAGTTATACAATACAACTGCTTTAATACAGAGTTCTCTGTTTTACCTGGTTGCCTGATGAAGGTTCTTGACAGTACCCTGTAAATAAATGGGGGTATATCAGCTAATAAGAAGCTGATTTTGGACTTTTATTTTTGTACAGAAATACTGTAATTAAGGCAAAACTTTGATCAAAGGTATCTTTTTGTCCACAGCAAAAAAAAACAAACAAACCTGGAAAACCTTACTGTTATTAAAAACCTCAGCCTTTAAGGAATCATGCCTACTTACTGAAAAGAGAGGAAGAAAAAAAAAAGTCCAGCAATAAAGAAAATATATGTGGTGTGCTCTGTTTCCTCTTCATACTCTGTTGGCCTTGCAACAAAGCCCTAATTTTGTCTGTCTTCTCAGGAGCTGAGCCAGGAGCACAGCGCAGGCTCGCTCTCTCTATGCTTTTGCTCAGAAAGGTGCACGTGCTTCTCATCGTAACGGGGCAGGTTCCCCTGATGATGTGCTGTGTGTCAGTCACACACACCCACAGGACAGAGGGTAAGGACTGCAGAGCAATTCCACTCCACAAGCAATGTGCGAGTAAAGCATTTGCTATTTGTGTAGCCCTGATGTAAGCTGGCTTGTTTTTACTAGCCAGCCGCAGCGTGGTAGTGCAGCATGCATTGCCCTCCTAAGTGTACGTAGCCTTTATAGACTACGAGGCTTGCTGTGAGAAATCCTCCACCCTCCTCCAACTGGCAGATACTTGTAGTCACTGTCTGTGACACCGCCCCTCAGTCCCAACTGCTTGTTAAATAACACTACTAATTTCATGTCCCCACCTTCCCAGCAAAGGTGAAGTTAATTTAAGGAAGACAAGAAAAATGAGAGAACTGTAACTCTAGTATGCTACACACACAGAGTATCTGAGGCTGATTTTTTCCATATGCGAGTTGTTTAGAAAGAATTCAGCTGCTCTTAGCAAGGCATCCTTGAAATGACACAATTTATACATTTCAGCCAGCTGAGCAAGAAGGTTCAGTTTTGTCTATGTGCTGTTTGTAAACATGCTCAGAGAAATCCCTGACACATCATCATCCTCCTTAATTCGTCAAAAAAACAGGAATGTGTAAGGTGACAATCTTGTTCAGGGTCACAGTCATGAGAAGCTGACGCCACTTCTCCAGTCCCAATTCAGTTACCTCCTGACTGACTTCTGGATGCTACCAGCCATTAGGAGGGATGTTTGCTCTTTGTCAATACCCCAAAGTGCCGGTCACTACACCTCAGAGCTTGTCTTCATTCATGCCGATTCTACCAACCTGCCATGCAAATCTTACTTCAATTACTATTATTGAGGCAAATAAAAGATTTCATAATTGTTGATGCTCACAAGAAAGAACACACAGTTTATCAAAGTATATACTGCATAATAGATATACTTGGGTTTAGAAGTGAGAACAGTGTTCCTTAAACTATAAAATATTTAAAAATTGATTGAGGGGATGATCTGTTCTTGCAAATTATTTTGCTTCAGTAAAAGCTTATTCCAAGACTACATGAAATTTCTTGCTAGAGCCAGAAATTCTCTCCTGCCTATGATCTCTTCTGTTACAGTAGCTTTTTTTAGCTTATCTGAGGAGAGGAGAGGAACCTTGTCACAGAATACAGTTTTACTTTTATTCTTGTTTTGAAATAAAGGTTTGTGTTTTCAAAAGAACAAACCCTGTAGAAGCTTACTGCTACTTATAAGAGTAGATCTGTACTTCTGGACAGGCTATAGACTTCCAACTGCTATGCTCTGTAGGTTGAGTGCATCAGAAATCACAAAAAAACGAGTATTGGAAGTCAAAGGGTTCTAGGAGAAACACCGTGCCTTGTCCAGTCCCTCTAGAGAGAAGGGGAGTTTTACTGCACATGTTGTGGTTTTCAGGATTTGAAACTATTGTGTGTTTGCTGAGAGAACAAAGAGCAGCAATTCCTGCTCCGTTGCCCACCTCCCACCCGCGGGCCACTCAGCTGCGCTGCCGCTCGCCCCGCTCTGGGAGATCCGCCAGCCCCAGGCAGTTACACCGACCCTGTCAAAAACCCTCTGGGAGCGCACACTGGGTTCCTGTGCCCTCTGACTGCACCTGGGCGAATACAGCCATAGCGAGAAAAACCCCGGGACCCCTCCGGCCAGACCTGCTGCGAGAGCCCGGGCTGGGCAGAAACTGCAGTCCGGCCTAGGAATAGACTGGCAGATGCAATGGAAATACAATTGTGTATCATCACCTTAGCATGCCTTAAAGCTGTCTGTGCCTCAATTCCACCTATGTCCCCAGGCTTCAGTCTAGCACTTTCCCTGTGCCTCATACATCCACACACATCCACTTGTCAGGGTACCAGAATTCTTAATAAACTCAATTACACAAGTTATGCAGAGGGAATTGCTGTACCCAAAAAGTGTTGTGTCAGAAACCCAGTTTTCAAGCCCCATGTTTCTGAGGCATACGGCTACAACAGGTACACGCAGGTTTGCACCAGTACAAACACCTACGCAGACATGCGACAGGATCGCAAGTCATGCTGGCTTAAGTCCATTTTACAGTAACTTGGAGAGGACAGCAGCAGCTTCTTCAGTTTCTCACAGCACATGCACTCCAGGTCCTTTACAGCTCTGTGAAGTAAATACAGAAGGGTACCAACCAAACATGACAGCACTGTCCTGAACATAACTAATTCTGCATGGTGCCCAGCCCTCGAAACCCACTGCATTTCACGCCATCGGATACAGGAACGCCGGGGCCGGCGGTGCCGCGGCACAGCCGCGCTGTCACACACCTGCACGTAGGCAGAGGGCTGCAAGGTGGGCGAGGCTGTGGAGGCAGACATTTGCAGTTGGTTGACAGGACTTTCCATCTACCCCTATTTCTTTCAAATTACTGCGTTGTTAATGCTAGTTAACCTCACATCACAAACAAACATCTAATAACCCTTAATTTTGAAGGAATCCACTGAGAATATCTCCCACATCACATCACGGCAGACACAAGGCCTTTGGAGCAGCACACCAAAACCTACACATGCTCCACCAGCCATGGAAGCCAGCAGAAGAGGGCAGCAGCGATCCAAAGAAGTGAGCTATGAGGGGGGCCGTTCCATCTGCCGCATGGTTTTACCTGGTCTTCATCAAAAGACAACAGGCTGGGGTAGGAGAAGGAGGAGGGAGCCCTCTCCTCATTCTTGCTGTCCACCAGACGTGTGATCAGGACAAGCAACAGCTACCCAGGCTGTGTCTCAGACATGCCAACACCCCCATCCATCTCTAGCTTTGGGCAATCCTAAAGTGAGAAATACATTAAGCATCAGAGGTGCCGGAGAAAGGGGACACGAACAAAACAAAGAGTGAAGCTTCTAAGGCCAAAGTTGCAAGTTTCTAGTGAAACAGTCACTTATTTCTATTGATCCATTGGGGGCGGGGGCTGCTTGCCCACATCACCCTGTTTGGAAGGCTGTTCCTGAATGTCTCTGTAGACTTTTTTCCAAAATTTCTTGTCTAAAGTTGATTCATGACTACATTATTTGTTCCAGTGCAATCCTTTGATTTTAGTAATTTTTCCTCCATGTATAATTTTTACCCAATCCTCCTTCCCAATACATTTTATAAGTATTGCTTGCATCATCTTCCAGCCTTCATTTTGCAAGACTACTCAAGCTCAAACTTTTTTTTAAATAAACTTTTCTCAAAAGCAAGTTCTCCCTTCTCCCTAATCAGCCTCATGGCATCTTTCAGCATCTATTACAGTTTACATTCTTTAAAAACAAAGGAGATGGGAATGGTACAGTGTTCTAAACACCTTACTGTTGCTTCATAACAACAGTCTAAAACTCTTACCAACTAGGAGTACTTTACTTGTATCTCGTAATCTCACTAGTCCTGTTCATAGTCACATCCCTTTAGTTCTGCATAGGAAGTCTAGACTGATGAGAGGAGGGGACAAAGGGACAAATTGAATCAACAGACAAGATTTCAGCTGGTTCTTGAAATTAGTTCCTAAGCATATGATTCTTCATTCTATGTTGTTACATGTCATTTCTCTTACTCCTATCCATAAGAGCATCCAGTCCTTCCTTTATGATTATCCTACCTAGTTTTGCTTCATACACATCAAAACACTGTTCTTACAATCATGTCACTAACAAAAACATT